ATATTAGATAGACATTTTAACCAACTCTCTCACGGAAGACAAGTAGAAAAGCTAGAGAAAATAATAATAATTATTATTAATAATAAAAATGTCTGCTGGAAGGTATCAGGGAACTTTCAAGGTAATGAAAAATTAACTGGCTAAGACCCAGGAAAAGAAAGAAATACAGATTGGTAAAGCTGGCTCTTGAAACTTCTTTAACCCTGGGGATATTTTTTGATCTAGAAGAGCTGGCTTAAAGGCGAAGTAGTGTTCTTGCACTTTCTTGGGGAGGACAGAGGTGGGAAGAGGGAAGAGAAAATAAAATGATTCTTCACATAGACTGCAACCTAGCTTCCAGGCAGCTGGTGGCTTATAAAATCTGTCCTTAAAATTGGATTAGCATCATCCCAGATTGTTAAGGTTCAAAGATTTCTGGCAGAAGTAAATGAAAATCTCTGGAAAAAGATAAAATCATAAAGGTCTCAAATTATTTCTGTAATTTGAAAAATGAAACACAATGCCTGGTATAAGAGAAAACCAGACTTCACAGAAAGAACAAATAGAGAAATAACAGTAGAAACAATAGATAATAGAGATTTACCCACAGCCTTAAAAATTGAAATTACCAGACAGAGACTTTAAAATATTCTTTTTTATGTTTAAAAAGATATATGTGGTGGAACACTAGACATTATAAAAATGACAAAAGAATTGAATAGACATTCTAGAACAAAAAAATATACACATACATACACATATATGTGTATATGTGTGTATGTGTGTGTATGTGTGAGTGTGCATGTATATATATAAAAAACTAGGTGAAAGAAGTGAAGTTTGAACCCAGAAATTTCAGTTTTAGGAGCCATAGTCTGAACAGCTACTCTCAAAACTAGAAAAAATTATAACATTTTTAAACTTCCAAATTTAATAGAGTTCAACCAAAAACAACTTTCCAATTATTTATTAAAAACATACAACACCTTATAAAAGACATCATAATTAGATATGTAATTTGGGAATAAAACTTTTAAGCCACTGATGTAATAAAACCATAATGATTCAACAGAGCATTTTTAATTCTCTCAAAAATGTCCACTGAAAATGGAATGAAATTGCAGACAGCTTTTATAACTGACATAATTTTCAGGTTTCATATCCTTTTACTAGAAAGCTACACAAAAAACATTTTATTAATTTGATGCTTCCTGAGACATTTACAGTGATTCCATTTGGCTATTTTTAAAATTTCTCTCTTGACTTTAGTAACTAGGGCATTTTGGAGGTCAAATGATACCTGTCTCTTTTCAGAATACTTTGCCTGCATGTTAGTTTTTAGCCAAGGTATATGACTTTGCTTCTCATTCTTTTCAGTTCATTTCTGTATTTTCATCGACTTCCTCTTTCCAGTTATCACTCATAGATGAAAATAACATAACTGCCTCTAGAATAGCCTGTGTGGTTGAGGGGCGGGGAGAGAGAGTTGCCATTACTGAGGTTGCCAAAATCACCACCAAAGATTCACAGGTGCACAGGTGGTCTGGAAGGGTAGTGAGGAGGCTCAAATGCTGATTGAGAGGCTGGTCCTAAGTTTGGAGGGATAGGAAATGGGTGACGGGACTCCCAGATGTCTTTCCCTTTTCTAATGACACAGGAAAAACGTTCTTCTCTTGCCAGCACTCCTCCCCAACTCCACATCCAGTTTGTCTTTGGGAGCAGGCGGGGGAGGGGGAGGTGTGAAGAAGGTACAGTGTGGATGGGCCCCAGGAAGGGGATAGGTACTGAAGTGGAAGCAGGAGTCCCCGGGTTCTCATGCTTCTTAATGCAGAGCTCCAATGTTAAATTTTCAACAAGAATTCTATTTATTAATTTGGTTTCTTGGAAATAACATATAATTGGTTGACTGTATCAAGTACAGTGGGATAGCACTGCACTTGAGAATGGAATTAGAGTAGCTAATTTTCCAATGTTTATCCACATGGCAGATGCTGTGAGGTACCACCTAACTCCCTTCAATGAAGGGCTTTATTGTTCCAATGTTGGCACTTTAGAATGACTTTATGGATTCCCTCACTCAAGATCATGCTCTTTCAATGAGCTATATCTAATGACTGATAGATTTAGGAGTATTAAGATATGGCATTTCATTTCAACAGAGGACATCTCCAAAGGGCAGTTCAAACTCCACATTACCCCATGAGATTAGCTGAGCTTGTTGTGGGCTTACCTTACAGTTTGATGTCTCCCTCTGCCCACACTCATTTCTGTCTCTTCAGTTCTATAATAGGTGATCCAAGGTTATTCCTAAATAACCATCCTTCACACTAAATTGCATTTCAAGGTTTGCTTCCCAAGGTATGACAATCGACTTTGGATTTCTCTGGAATGAGGCATTAAATCTATCTTCCATTCATTTACCCATCTATTTATCCACCTATCTATCCACCCACCCATTTAGCTCTTTAGTATTTTTATTAAGCCATCCTGGGATCTCAGAAGATTCACTATTCTCCTTTTTGGTAATATCTCTTCAGGTTATAATATCTATACTATCCACCAAGTAGCCATGTGTTATTTTTAACTAGTTTCCCAAAGATATAAATAAATGTGCAATGTTTAGCATGTTAGCATATATTGTGATCAAATTCTCAAAGTACAGTTGTTACTGAATTTGCTAAATGAATTAATGAAAACGTTAGCTTTGGTTTCACCAAGTTATCTCCAGGGGGCAGCAGAGAATGCTCTTAAGGCAAATATGATTCGAGAAGTGCAGTTTCTTTTTCTCTTTCTCCCTGTCTCTCTCTTCAAAACAGACAAACTATAACATTTTAAGAGTGTCCAGCTGGAAGAAAGAGTGAATGAATAGATGAATAGGTTTAGAAGGGATGACGAATGTGGGCGATGCATTGGAGACAAGACCAAATAAAAGAATACTTAGTAAAGCAATTAGCCACATAACTAAGAAACAGACTTTGGAGTAAAATTTCTTGGATTTGAATCCTGTCTCCATCACTTAATTAGCTGTGTGACTGGACAATTACTTAATCTTCCAACTGTAAAATAGAGAAAACAAAGATATTTACTTTATAGATTAAGTGAGGCCGTAGTTATAAAGTGCTATGGAGCCTGGGTGTTAAGCTAAGGGCTTGACTATTTCCTATGGATATGACCACTGAGGTCTAAAATTGATATTTGGTAAAATAACATGTGGTTACTAATTTCTCTGCCCTGGTTTTACTTTTCATTTGATATTTCACATATTTTATTTTCAAACATCTATTTCTAAATTGTTCTCTTTGCACACTATGTGAATTTGTATTGAAAAATAATGATTAACTCTCATCTGATATATATTTTGTCTAACTTTTTAAAAGAGAATTATGGAGGGGACATGACATCAACTGTACATTGAAAGTGAAATATTTCAAGGTGAATAGCAATGATATAGCAGAATGTGAAAGTAGATATATTCATTTTGTGAGGCTCTTCTAACACATTTAGTGACTGTGCAGGGAAGGAGATCCAGGATTTCAGATGGGTCATCTTCAGAACTTGGGTCTATGAGGATTGCAGAGAAGTAAATTGGAGAACAGGAAAATAAGAGATGGCCAGCAGAGCAGCCATTTTTTGCAGTCATTGAATAATGATGTCTCTGCGGAAGTCATTAGCCTCACATCTGTAATCGTTGTGCTATGAGGGCAGGGAGCAAAGTAAAATAAAGAATGGAGTGTGATTCCTTGAAATTCTTCACACTGTTGGCATTGTTCTTTTAACTCTTTCAAATTGTTACATTAGTACTTGGGCAACAGCAGGACAGGGGACAGGGCAGATTGAGGGACTTGGGATGAGGGTTTAGTAGTGTCTTTGTGTGAGTATGCATGTGAGTGCATGCTGTGGAAGGTCACACACTGAAGAGAGTTTACAGACAGTAAATATGACAACGTAAGTAGGCACTGGCCCATTTTTGCAAAGGTACACATCCAGAAAACTTAGCTAAGACATTAGAGGCAGGCAAGTACTTGAGTTCTAGCCAGTCAGGACTCAAATTCAGGATGTGTATGTGCATGCGATGGAGGGCAAGAGGTCAGTAATAAAAGATCCTTAGTGTCTACTTAGACACTAAGTAGATCCATACAAAGGATCCATACAAAGTTTCTACATAAAGGGGAAGCATACCGCTGGCAAGATAGCAATATCTTCTAACTGGTTTGATGTGGGGCTAAGTCCAAATCTGACACTGGAGACAAAGAAATACACCTGACTGAAAAAAATTGTACTTCAAAAAAATTTATAGGCAGACAATTTTTGTGCAAATCAACTGTGCAAATGTGGGGGCATTATGTTTTCAAGCAGCTCTTGCTAAAGCTCACTAAAACTTACCAAGTCATTTTGTTTTGGCCACCACAATATTACTCTCAATCACATTCTTCTGTTAACCTGTTGTGTGCACTGATTCTTAACAGGTACTATTGAAGAGGAGTTAAAAGACTGGTGGGGTAAAAGTTTTGGATTTTTGGTTTGAACTGCTCCTTTTTCTTGGTCTTGTCCTGCTCTCCTGCTCTGCTTCTTGGATCTGGTGCCCAAGGGATGCAGGTAAGAAAAATCTGGGTCCTTTAGGTTTTTCAGAGATGTCCATTTACTAGACAAGCAACCTTTTCTTTTATTATATTGACTTTCATGGCATATCTTGGTGGATGGTTATGCTAACAAACGCTTGGTTCCTTTATTGTTCTTCCAAACACCCATTCAGCCTAAGAAATAAAGATGGGAACTGAGAGTTGGGGATGGGGTAGAGGAGATGATGGAGGTGGGGGAGAAATTCGTCCTGCCGAATCTAGTTACAGATTTCTATGGTTTTTGACACCACTTGTTTGATTCTTAAACTACTGATTGCAGAGTGTGGTCTGACCTGAGATGAGTACATGGGGAGTTGCCTGAAATTTCAAACGAGAGGAGTTGAGTGGAAAGAACACAGGGCTAGCAAACATGAAATGTGAGTTTTACTTTCAGCTGTGTCACCGAGTCACTTTGAGGCATTAAGCAGGCCATATAGCCCTTCCATGCTTTGGCTGTCATTGAACCGGCATTAAAATAAATGATCAGCAAGAAGTTTTGATGACATAAGAAAACACTCAGGTAAGTACAATATAAATGGGACAAAACAGGTTACTGACTTAAGAAATTTCCCTAGTATCATCAGACTAGTAATTGTCCAGCAGAGACGTAGGTCTATCTGTCATCAAAACTCATGGTCTTAACTACTGTTAACCTTAACATCGATGTAGAAGCTGGAATGTTATATTTCAAATGACATTTCATCACTGATTTTCTGATATCTAGCACGATATTAGACAGAAGGGAAGTTGTTTTTTGCTATAGTCCACCACTGTCACGTAGCTGATATCTTCAAGTATTTCATACCCTCAAGTACCTGATTTTGCTGTGTTAATTAAATTGATTCACTGAAAGGAAAGCTGGAGAAGAGGAAGGGCGTGGGGTGCGGATATATATATAGTTTACTTACTGTTTGGCAAGAGGAAAGATAAAACTGCTAACTTAAAAGAAAAAAAATGCGTGTTGTTTAGTCTTTTTCCTGTTTGCAATGCTTTCTTCCCCTTCCTGGAGAGTTTTGCCTTGGGGTAAGAGATTCTTAGCACATACAGAATTTCTTTCCTCCCAAACATAATCTAAATGCACATGAACTAGCACATTAAGGCAGAGTCTTTTTTTTTTTGTAAGTCTCAGGTACAGCCCCTTGACAACTAAAGACGGGTGCTTATTTTTAATTTGGTTGAAAGGATTTTTGCCTTGCAAAAGTGAAAATGAATGGAAATAAGTACAAAATCATAGCAGAGTAATGCCTCTCCCACCCCCCATCAGGAATCTATGACTTAACCTCTGAAACTTGTAAATAGGCAGATTTATATGGGATAAGGGAATTTGCAGATGTGATTAAGTTCAAGATTTTGAGACAGGGAGATTATCCTGGATTATACCTGGGTAGTCCAATATAATCACAAGGATCTTTACAAGAAGGAGATAGGAGGATTATAATCAGAGAATGTGACAGGGGAACAGAGGATGGGAATGATGCAGTGTCAAGGCAAGGAATGCTGGTGGTCTCTAGAAGTTGGAAAAGTCAATGAACAAAATCTCTACATGTGTCCAGAAAAAACATAGCCCTGCCAACACTTTGATTTTAGCTCCATAAGATCCATTGTGAACTTCTGAACTCTAGAACTGTAAGATTTATTTCTGTTGTTTTAAATCACTTGGTTTATAGTAATTTGTTAAGTAGCAATAGGAAAGTAATATACTTATGATGCATTTAGATTTGTAAATATTATAGACAGTAATTTCATGAAAGAATTTTCAAGGAAAAATATTTTATTACAAACTTTAATACTGAGGTTGTCCACCTCTTCAACCTGGAGAAAGCTTCTAAAAGTTATCATGACTGAGAAGTTTAGAGGGATTGACCAAAAATAGACAAATTGTCTGTTTTGCTCTTTAATCCAAGTTTAGACAAATCTATCTATTTTGGGCATGTTCAAAGCCTTACTGTAAAATTTATGTGTATAGCAGAAGTGAGAGGAGGACCAATGAGCTGAAAGATAATCAATCTGCTTCCTCCGTCCTTGTTTCAGTGCTTCATACAGGAAATCTATTGCTGTGTCAAGTTCCAGAGAAGTGTTTCTTCTGTTCCAAGAGTTTCTTCAGTCTAAAACACATAGAGTTGAAGGAAGGGAGCAGGAGAACAGGAGTGTCCCGCTGTTGATGGGCTAAGAGGATTCAGCACAGAGAAATTGACCAGAGAGAGCCTCACCATGTCCACAGCTCCTTTCATACTTGTGTGGAGGAGAAGGACTGAGTGAAGGACAGAAAATAAGAGAACAGAAATGCCCTGTTCTTGGAGAACTTCTCACCTACAGCTACTGCTGATATTGACTGTCTTCTTAGAGGCTGGTAAGTTTGAAATGTCTTTGGAAGAGTGGCAGGAGAACAACTGGTGAGAAACCTGGTCTCAGCTTTTCCTGAGTATTCTTTACCTTTACGGAGCAATATAAGATAAACACAGTCATAGATATGGGGGATGGGGTTACTCCCAGATTTGTTTCACTTTATTAACTTTATTTTCCCTCTTTTTCATACTTATTTTACTTTGTATCCAACTACAGTATACTCATATATGATTTGCCTGTCTCTCCACTTCCTTATTTCTCCCTCCCCCCTTTTTTGAATGAGGCAGAATAAATGAATTTCTAGTAGCAATTCAAGTCATATAGGTTTTCTTTATCTTCTTTTCTCTTTCAAAAAAATTAAATAATAATCCCAACTCATTTAGGTGCATATTATTAACAGTAAAAGTCTGGAAAGTTTATTGCTTTCTATCACTTTCTATGACCAGATACTTTTTAAAATATAATATGCTCAGTGTTTGGTGGTGCATCTGTGACGCATGTCTGTATTCAGTTTTAACATGTGTAGGTTGTAAAAGATTTTTTTGGGGGGTGGGGGGAGGTGGAGGAGAGTACAACGAGGACAAATAGTGATGGACAGAGACTTGCCTTTGAGTAGTAGAATTGTGCACCTGAAACTTGTATAATTTTGTTAACTAGTGTCACCCCAAGAAATTCAATAAAAAGGAAAAAAAAGGAAAAAAGACATTTTCTGTGCTAATTTCTTCAATGTCTAGATTCCTGTAGGTGTTGTAGAGAACTTGGAACCATGTGGGGGTGTCCTGGTTTCACTATAGAGGGTTATAGTAGGAGTTCATGTGGGAGGGAGTTTTCAGGTTTCACTTTTAGTAAATGGGAGCAGTCACAAGGAAACAGTGTAGTTGGTTTTAAATTTTATAATTTGATAATTAAAAGAATAAAAAGTATTTTTTCTCATATGAATGACTTTAAAATATTGCCTATCCTCCAGCAAAAAAAAAAAAAAATCGGTTTTCCACATGATAATCTTACTGTTGCGCACACACAAAGTAACCACACTGTACAACTGCACCTTTCTGTGCTGAATTTTCACACACTTTTTCTCCTTTGATCTGCAGTGAAATAGGCACAGAAGACACTTCTCCATTTTATGAAAGTAGAAACTGAGGCTTAGAGGAGTGAAATGATTTGCCCAGCATTACAGTCACACCCAGGCACATCTGTAGGCATCATTTGAATAGGCAAATTTCCTCAATATTTAGCATTATACTTTTCACTAGAAAGCACCACTATTGATAGCACCACTGAAAAAAAATTAAGCTAATATCGGTTATAAACCTAGTGGAATATTTACTTATTTAAAAAAGTCAGGTGATCTGACATTTTCAATAGTTGAGATTTTGTTTGAGAAAGCTCATACAGAAATCTGTGTAGGACCAAACTTGGCAGGGAAGCCATTCATGTAAAGCTGAACTATGACTTGGATAAAGGGGAAAAAAAAAATCAAGATTAAGACTGTGTGTGTGTGTGTATGTGTGTGTAAAATAGTTTGATAAATTTGCATGGTCATAGATAGTTACTACATTTAGTGTGGTAAACACACTATAAGATATATAAATGCAAAACCACTATGTTGTATACCTGAAATTAATATAATGTTGTACACCAACTATACATTAAATAAGTGAATATTTCATTCCCTCAAAAGATTAAAACATAATTGATAAGCTTGAATTTTAATGTTTGGTTTAATGTTTGGTAATGTAAGGTTTAAAGGTTTGAAATTTAAAACTATTTTTAAACACAACTAAGGGATACTACATATATCAAATACTGCTGTCTGTGCTTATATAATTATGAAGTTACCAAAGTGTTCAGAATCAAGATGCAGGAAAGCAAATTACATGCAGTGATTTGGCATGATAAATTTACCATGAGATAATTTAGAGTAAATTAAAAGAAAGCCACTTGGGGCATGAATTCATCTTTACTAGTACTGCTAGTACTGCTTTGTTATTAACACTACCAAACATAAATAATTCACTTTAACTAATATACAAGATAAATTCACAAAGGAGCAAGGGAGCTAATGACTTCAATGTAAAACATAGTATTAAAAAAATATACTTACTTTTTATCTTTACTAATTTGCTTATAAATTCAAGCACTATGGTAGTTAGTAGACAAAGTTTATTCAGAGAATACCGGAGAAAAAAGATTAAAACATCCAAGTGGTCCGCTGCAGCAACCTGCAACTAGCAACTCTGTGTCTGGTCTCATTTCATTGTATTCCCTTCACCCTATACCACTTCTTCTTCCTTATTTTAGCCAATTGTCTTTTAGGTTTTCTTTGTATTGAAATTATATTTTGCTATTCCAATTAACATGATTCTACCTTTTATAAAAGTCACTGATGCTGAGATTATGAATTACTGAAAAAGAATTCACTTTTTTCTTCCTTGGGCTAATTTTGACCATTTATCATTATGTTCCACTAGGGGGCAGGCAGTAATAATAAGAAGAGATAAGATCAAGACAGGGCTGTTTGGTAGTTTTAGCAGATTTGCAAAAGATGGAATGAGAGATTAAAGCAATTGCAAAATCATATGGTATATTAAAAAAGCAATTGTAATAAAAAAAGTGTCCTCATTAATGTCAGTTCTATCTTCCTTTTCTAGTTTGTGTTAATTGCAAATTTACAAATAGTAATTTTACATGTGTTTAAACGTCCATGCTTAAGCAATTAATAAACTCATCAAAAGTCATTGTTGAAAACACCGAGTGTACATGGGGTGTGTGTGTGTCTATGAATAGTGTCTAAAAGTTATTAGCAAGCTAAATTAGGGAAAAGTCAAACTAAGATGACAATTTAAGAGAACTTTTAAAATTCAGTTAGTTATGAAATTGTCTATGAAACTAGTAAAAATTCAAAGATGGGAGAAATTATAGTGGGATGGAGTTGTCAAAGGCTTTATGCAGGAGATGGGTCTTGACCTGCATTTTGAATGATAGGTTTGGATGGATGGGGAAAGGTAGAGATACAAATAAGGAGGAGTGGATGTGCAGCATGAACACAGGCAAGGTGGTCGGGGGAGATTGTGTGTTACATAACCATAGGAAATAATGCTGAATTTTGGGGACCCTGATAGCTAAACAGAGGAACTTGGATACTGTGCAATAAGCATTGAGGACCCATCTTTTTTTGTGAACAGGAAAATAATATAATAAAGGAATATTTTTAGAGAATAACGTGGCAACAGTGTCTTGTTCAGTGGGAGTGCACTTGATAAAAAATTTAGTTTGCAGGAGGAGTCAAGAGCTCCTACCTTGAATTTCCATTTTAGAAAGTCCCATGATTCTTCTGCAAGATATTGATGGCTGAGAAGGGGGGTTTCTTTGCAGACGAGGATGTTAAATTTAGTACAGGGAAGGAGGAGAACTAGGAGGCAAATTCCTATAGGTACCTGGAAATATAACACAGTGCATTTGTGGAGTAGGGGGATTCCACAAAGAGAATCCTCATGGAGATAAACATAGTAGAATAACACTAGATATTTTTGTATTTGGGTCCTAAGAGTGATAATTATCTCTTTCTTCTCAATAACAGAGAGCAAGGTATGTGAAGAGAAAGGATGGGAGTTTTTAACCTTAAATAAAATTGAGGAGTCAGATGAGAAGTTAGATATAAGGATACTAATAGGTTGAGAATAGAAATAAGGAGATGCGACAGTTCCACAGTAGACAAGTTGCTGCCTAATAAGGTCATGAGTATTTCAGTTAATGGTGTTAGTTAATAAAATAACTCAGTTGTTATTTGGTTTTATGTTGTATCTGAAAAATCAATCTGCACAGAGACTAAAATTTAGTAACAATTGATACTTTGAGTCCTTGTTATCACTGAAATACATTTGATAATTTTTGACTAAGATTAGGGAGAGGATCTGTGGTCAAGAAATAGCTTTGGATGTAACAAAACTCACATAAGAGTCACAGTTAATTATTTGTAGGAAGAAATAACACTGTTCATACATGAACACGGAGCAAACAATTTAGAAGTTTTCTTAGCTAGAGTTTATATGCCTTATCTGTCCAAAAGAACTAGAAACAATCTTAAGAATAAAATCTTATTTGTGTTTAAGGAAAGTAGTTCAAAAAGTACCAAATACAGCACTGGAAGTTGCTAGAATAGCAAACCATTTTATTTAAAAATATCAGTTCCTTTGAGTTGTTGATGCTGTTGCAGGCTCTCCCGGGATCAGACTCTGAGATAGAGTTTTGAGTAGAGAATGTTTATTAAGGAGGACAGTTGGAAGAAACATCTGGAAGGAAGGGCAAGTTTGCAGAGGGAGAAGTCAATCTGCAATGTCAACCTTTGACACACTCATCTGATCCCCACAGGGGGCTGTGGAGTTAGAATGGTCTTAGAAAGGCCCTGCATTGAATCAGTATGGTTGGGCCTTTACACCTTCATCTTAACCAGTCATTGAATGTGGGATGCTCTGAGAAGAGTCTGACTTTGGGCAAAGTAATTGAGTTCATCTCTGAAGATGCTGAGAGCTGAAGGCTGTCTGCCGATACTGCCCCTCGCAGTAAGAGCAAAAAGTCACTCCTTGCAGGAGATTCTGAGCGCATACACTGTTCCTACCGTAATGGCTATTTCCATGCTCTTCGTTCCTTCCTGAATTTCTGAATTTGTGTGTTATTATTTCCCTTCAGCCTAAATAATTTCTTTTATCATTTTTACTAGTGTAGGCCTGCTGGTGAGGATCTCTTTTAGATTCCTTTTATCTAAATACGCCTCATTCTTGAAGCATATTTTTGCTGGATATAGAATTCTGGGTATTCTAGGTTGACTTATTTTCTAGCACCTTAAAGATATTTTCTTTTACCATTTCTGATGAGAAGTCAACAGACACTCAAATTATTATTTCTCTGAATATAATCTGTCATTTCCTCTGGCTGCTTTCAAGATTATCTCTTTAATTTTTTTCCCAAAGGTAGTACAGAGATTTGTTATTAGAATTTTAT